AAACCACAACATTTGTTGTCAGAGCTCCTCCCTCATCCGCTTTGGAAACTGTGAAGGCCTCAGCTTTATTTGCTATTTTTTAACAGCTATTATTCCCCGTTTTCCCCCTATATACGTGTTAAGTGGATCATACAATATCCAGTTATTTGATTATGTGCTTTAAAAAATTGCTACCAGTGGTCTCTTTTCGTGAATATTTCGTATATATATTTCCTGCTCCACAACCTCATTATCGAAGCAGACAATCAGGTTTAGAGAAAGAAAAATAAATCCGTACGAGAAACAAGTAATATGATGAATGAGCGTTGGGAGTTCCCTTGAAGTACACGTGTGTGGTGGGAGTGGTGCCTTCTCCTGTCAGCTGCATTAGTGGAGGGATGACAGAGGATAATAAGTAATTATAACTCATGACTGTACTTTAATATATACACCCCAAAAAATGTCAGATTTTCAAGAGAAAAACAGAACTCCTAAAAGGACATTCTGATTACAAGGATCCTTTTCTACAAAACCATTAAGCCCCATTGTACTGTTTACCACTGTGGCCGTGACCTTAGCACATGCAGAGCTGAAAATATGACTTCTATAGGAACAATGTGGCACGTCTACCTTTAGTCTAATCAGTTCAACTCGACTGATTGTTCGGCGGTGTTGGGATGTAACTAAATACGTTTACTCAACTACTTTGAGGTATTTGTACTTTATTTGAGTCTTTTCTCTTCCTCTTTCTACGCCGCTGTACCTCAGAGGGAAATGTTCTGTTAACTTCACTACAAATATCTGTGAGCTTTAGTTACTTTACAGTTTAATTGAGTTTTTTTTTTTTAATGCATGAAGCGTAAGATTGTATAAAATGTGCTTTTTTGTTCTGAACTGAACTACTCAGCAGTTTGTAGAAGTGCAGCCGATTAGCAGATGATTCAAGATAGTTAACTGACAAAAGTAAACTGGCAACTATTTTCTTAAACATTATACCATTTTTCATGTAAAAAAGCAATTTGCAGGTTATTATTATTATTTTACAGTATTTTAATATCTTCTCTTTTTTTATTTATACATAATTTTAAGATCTGGTGTGTTGGTTGGACAAAACAAACACAGCGAAGGTGTCACGTTGTGCTTCGGGTCATAGTGACAGCATTTCTCACTATTGTTTTTTTTTACAAATCAATCGACTGAATACAAGAGAAAATAATCAGCAAATTAGTGCATAATGAAAATAATCAGTAGTTACACAAAAATAAAATCAAAATTAGCTCCGTCTCATTGAACACCAACATTAAAATCCTTCTTTTACACGAATGCATGAGTGATCATCTAATCTCCTGGGACATTTTTCTGCCCAAAAAACTCTTACTTGTGATACCTGAAGTGCATTTTTCTGTTTTATTTGCATACTTTTACTTAAGTAACATTTTAAATGCAGAATTTTTGCTTGTACCTGAGTATTTTTTACAGTGTGGTATTTTACCTGAGGTCAGTGAGCACAGACGGTGTCAGTTGACGGTACGGCAATCAAGCATGATAACAAATATGTAGCTTTGTCTCCCTCTAGTGGCAACAGCCTTAAAATCCAAGTGTGCCAAGACTATCTTATTTTCGTCATGTTTTCTGTGCAGTTTTATTGTTTATGGTAAAACTGGTAAAACATAGGTTTTAGATTCACTTTTAAACAACAAGGCGTGGCACGAAGTAAAGTAAGATGAGACTGCACGGTGGAGTGTGAAACTAAATGAAGACGAAAAGACAGAAAAAAGTTGGAAAGCACAATATTAGGTGAACACAACATGTCTCTGTACTGGATATAACCACTAGAGTGCACCATTTTGTAATTTTGGGTCAGTCTCTCGGCCTCCAAGAGAGGGAGAAGAAATCGGAGAGACGTACTGTAAATGAGAGACAGGCAGAGTGAAGGAGGGTCATGATAAGGTGCTGTGTGGGAGTGTTTTGCTAGATGAGAAATGGAGATCACCATCAGGCTGGAGATAGAAAGTCTCTCACTATTTTCTCCCTCTCTCTCTCTACTTTCCTTCATCTATACCTCTCTCTCATCCTGTGTGTCTCCCATGAGATTCAGTTATTTGATATAAATAGCAGTACTGTAAGCAGTGCAACGTTTTGTTTGTTTGTTGCCCCCCCCCCCTCCGGTTCCTCATCACTCATTTGATGATCAGAGATCTAGAATTCAGGGATCTAGAAAAAAATCGCTTACTACCATAACCACCTCCAAAGAAAATGCAAAATAAGCAGCTAATGTGTTACTAGCTATGTGTGTAATATCTGGCATTCAAGCTCATAACGTTAAGCGCTGGAACTTCTCGGATCATGATTTGCACATCTGAAGGGTCTTTATAGGCACTAATGTATCCTCTTTTGTGAAAAGGTCAGCGCGCATTTCCTTCAACAAACAGACGAAGCCTCCAACAGGTTGATTGAACGTTGCGCTGAGGGCGGCTCAATGCTACGTGATATTTTCTCCCGGTTAAAGCTCCTCTCCAACAGGTGAAAGAAAGCGGCATGAAGCCTGAATCAGAAGAGAAATGTTGTTTACACCCTCCCCAGGCCAGCAGTGGGAGTGAGCAGAAACAAGAAACTGCAGCGTGAGGGGAATTGGCTTGGTTCAATGTGGGAGAAAAAAACAAGAAAGGGAAAACGTGCAGCAGAAAATACAACGATAAATGCGAGATGTCCTCCAGCGAAACACCGTCTTGCGTGCTTCGAGCTTATGCACGCTTGCCAACTCAGGTGCGCTGAGACCGTGAGGTACACGCACAGCAACAAACAGTGGATTTTATTTTACATGTTGTCAGATCCACAGCTGCATTGCACATTCTGTTCGGTTACGGTTCCTTACAGAGAGAAATAGGATTTAAATGCCTGCATGTGCATCGGTTTCACGTGCACCATGTTTGAATATTTTGGTTTTTGCATTTTTTGTGGAGCTGAAACAGGCCATGTAAATATTCTTTTGCCACCAGTCACTTGATGTGCCCTTCATTATGCACAGCTTTGAGCCATAATACAATTGAAATAAGTGAGTTGGATACAAATTGACTTCTTACACAGATGTCCTGACAGAAGAAATCAGTCAAATAGAACAAAACTGTTATAAGTACCAGGTTGTTAATGTGTTTATTTCTGCTGTAATGTTGAGCATTTTAACATCTATGGGGGAGTCTATGGGGATGGACTCTTTTGGGCCGAGCCTCTAGTGGCCAGTCAAGGAACTGCAGTCTTTTCAGCTTCATTGTAAAGTGTTGTTAGTACTAACTCTATTAGTGTCAATTACAATGTACAACAGTATTTCCTAAAGTTCCTAAAAGACCAAAACAGTCCTTGAGACAGTCGAATGATTTTTTGCTGGAAAATGTGACAATGCATAGTTAGAGGGTGGCTCGGTGGTTAACATCACTGCCTTGCAGCAAGAAGATCCCC